AAGATGATGGTCTTCTTCAACTGAGAGCCCAAGGCAACGGCTTGCGCCTTGTTCAAGGTGTACGAGAAGAAAGCCAGAGGGCGTCCCGATACATCGTAAAGGATGCCGCCAATACCACAGCGCTCCTGATCAAAGGCTGCGTCGGTGAACAGGAAGAGTGTCTCACTCGAGGGCCGACCGAGGACCCTCGGCCTACCTTGACTCAAGAGCTGGCGGTAACGCTTCAAGGCCACACTAGTATCCGAGTCGATCTTATCTGCAGATGCGGCCACATGAGCGTCGAGTGCCTTCAGGCACAGTTTGCTGGACCTACCAAAAATCTGCCCATCAGCAAACTGCAGTCTACCCCTAAGAGCTCGAGCGGTAGTGGTGCTGAGGTTTCCTGAGGTCGTGACTTCATCAAGCGCAACAGTGAGCTCCGCGACCCTCGAGGCGGTGTTTGAGACCTCAACACGCCCGCTGGTGAAATGCTCGAGGTTGAAGGAGACACCTAGGCAAGAGAACTTCGGGCTGAAGTCTGNNTCCAGCCAAGCAGGTTGAAAAGGCGAGTGACGGTTGATGTCGTGTTGCCTGCCGTGCTGTCGCCAGCGACCACGGGAAAATCGTCGAAGTAGCAAGCCCAGAGCAGGCCCAGGCTGCATCCTATCTCCCATAGGGAGTGCGATACCCTCAGGAAGCTGTGCACTGACCGCACCGCGCCAAAAGGGAGCGCACTAAGCTGGTGGATGGAGGGCAGTTTGTCCTCTTGGTCATAGAATGCCACGTAAGCATGCTGCAAGGCATCCTCGCTGAGACCCAACTGCCTGTACGCAGATTTTAAGTCAAAGCTGCGACCGAGGAATCGATCGCGCGGGAAATTCTCCAAGCACTCCAGAAGCAGACACCCTATCACATCTATTGAATGCGGCTGGGGCGACTCGCAAACTTGGACTGCGCTGTTCACCGTGCTAGCTGACATGTCATCTATGAGTCTGGCTTTGGCATCGTCTCCGGTTCCTTGCAGGATGCCGAAGCGTCGGCTCACAAGTGCCCCGGGCTCAAGTGAGCTAGCCTCGAACGGCCCGTGAAGCCAGCC